TCGTAATGAAAGAAAATATACTTGACCTACTTCTCTCTCTCTCTCCTTCTCCCTAGACCTCATGATAGTGTTGATAAAATTTTGCCAAAAAGGAAATTCACAGAACAAGTAAGTCACTTACTGATTGAATGACAGAGATAGGGAGGGAGAGAGACTGATTAATCATTCTAACTAAGCTCTGTCTTCCCTCTCTCTCTCCTTAGGCTAATGGTCGGGATGATGTATCATTAAAGACATCTAAACTCTCTCCTCCTCCTCCTCCTCCTCCTGATGATGTTGCTGTTAAAGAAGAGGTTGGTGTCAGTTCTTCCTCCAGTGCTCCGCTTGATGTCCTCCTGATGCCTCCTCCTCACTTACCTCCTCCCTCTTCAACTCTCTTGTCTTCAGTAAAGAAACCACCTCTCACTATAAACCACTCTCAAACTGGTACGTATTAATTGTATTAGAAGGACACCATTGGGCCCACACTACCTGTCCTTAATACATGTACAGTATAGTCTCTCTTAATGGACACTCTCTATAGCGTACACCTCCATTTAACAGACAGCACCTAGTGTACCAATTACATTCCTTACTGTATAAAATAACCTCCACATAAAGGACACCTCTGTATAACAGAGACACTTTCAAAGTGTCCATTATATAGAGGCTTATTATCACTATTATTATTATTATTATTATTATTATTATTATTATTATTATTATTGATAGATGCAGTAAAAGGAGCTCATCCTCAGTCTCTTATTCCTGTTCCCATACCACCACAGTCTGGTACCAATCCTCTCTCGGTCCTTAAAAATACTTCAACTGCCACTAGTGCTCCTCCAGTACAGGCTGCTCCTTCTGTAGATTCTTCTTCTTCTGCTGTTAAATCAGCTCCCAGTGGCTCTGCTCCAGTCATGGCTACCTCTGCATTCTCCCTGGTCAGTTATGATTCTGAAGATTCTGATTCTGAAACTGCTTGAGATAGAAACAACATGAGAATGAGGAGACTATCATGAATTATATCTGCATCATCATGATAATGTGAATTTTCCTTTTAAAAGTACTTTTGTATTAATTTTAATTGATAATAATTATCATTCTTTTATTCATAAAGGTTCCACTATTATAGTAGTGGGTGGCTGGTTTAAAATCTACTCAATTTTTGCAGAAGTAAAGTGATTTCTGCCATCACCAGTTTAATAATGCTCCAACTGCAAGTGAACTGTGTGTCAGTCATAGGTTGGAGGCCCTTGCAGTATAATAGTGTGTTAATCATTTAAACTTGTTTACTCTTCCATTTACACTTCAGACTAATGAGCTTATTTTTTGTGGCTGGATCATAATCATATTTTGAAGCTAATAATAATGATATTAATAATAATAATCTACTCTTGATAATAATAACTGAGCGGACAAACAATAATGAAATAGACAAGGTGAAATAGCAGAAATAATGATGCTTGTAAAAATTTAATGTTGCTAAACAATTAGAAATAATTATTGTGATAATGACAAGCTAAGAATTAATATAAAGTTACATCACAAGTGTATAAAGAGAATTTTTCTATTCCTATATTCATTATTTTTATTAGAGTATACTTAGGATTGTCCTTTGCTTTACAACAGAACTTTCTCTTCTTCTGTTCTAACGACATTCGGCAGTTACTCATGACAATGATTCTGTCTTGACAAGCTGGATAATCTACTGTAGAGATGATATCCGCTAAGACACAGCTTGTTGGAAATGTAAAATGTTTCGATTTTACTTTGGTTACACACGTGTATTTTATTCCAAAAAGATCTACATCTCTTGTCAGTTTGTATTTCTTTACTTCTATTTTCCAAGGACATTTGAAATTAGCTATAAAGAGAGAGAGAGAGAGAGAGAGAGAGAGGAACAAAACACAAAGTTACTCAATACTAGGAACCAAGTGCAAGTCATCAGGTGATAATTAACATGTGATATAACATTAGACATGCAGCAATAGTGCTTCACATACTGCAGCCTACACTACTAATATACAACCTAGCTATATCAATTAAGATATATATTACAAGTAAAGCATTAAAGCCTCTTTATGATTTATACTATATAACTTACCAATTTGTGTTGCAGTATAA